GAAAGGCCGAAGTCTAAGAAAAATTGGAAAAGTTCATAATAGGCTAAAATTCCAAATGAGCTTGCACTAGTCTATACTTTGAATGATCATATCTAAATATGTATAAGGTTTTATGTGATGAATAACCTATCAAATGAAAGGTCTTCGAGTCTAGTTTCCAACGCTTCAAAACGTTCATTATTTGGACATTCCTACACAAAGTTATGATCAAATTACCAAAGGCTGGAAAATGCGATCCTGTGTCAAATCTGCGACCGCAAAACCTGTCGCATTTCTGACTTTGCGGTCGCATTTCTGTCGCAGACTGGGCCAGTGTAGCCCAGTTTTGGGCGCCGATTTTGCGGTGCATTATGCGGCCAGCATTCTCATTTTGCGGTCCGTTCTGCTATAGCAGACTCGACATCGGAGGGTTGATTTTCTAATTTTTATAACCCGACCCCATTTCAATATATAGGCTTTGGGGTTCATTTTGGGGCCATTTCTTACTGATTTTAGAGAGAGGTGAGAGCATATATAGAGAGAAAGGAGAGGCCTAGCTTCATAATCATCCAAATCTTGCTCAAGTCTTCAAGAATCAAAGAACCCAATCACATGTTCTTCATCTAAGAGGTAAGATTCTATACCCTAGACTTTAATTTCGAGTTTGGGGTATAAGATGGGTTATTGAGGTATGATTCTTGGGTGTATTAGTATTATGTATACATGCATGTACAAATTAGGTTTATGGGAAGATTTTTGAACACAAATAAGTAAAGATTGGGTTGGGGAATGAAGGAAACCTTGTAAAAGAGATTTGAAATCAAGATGCTCAACTAGTATTTGATAAAATGCTCAAATGAGCTGAAACCATGAATACCTTCCTAATTTGTGTTCAATTTTGTTATGTCTCAAAGTAGATTGGGATTGCTAGAATTTTCGGAACGTTGTAGTAACTTAAGGAAAGCTTAAACAAGGTATGTATGGCTAAAACCCCGTCTTTAAGAAATTGAGCTCTATCGATGCTTGTGTAAATGTGGTAAGACTAAACTTTGGATTCTTGCTTTGATTGATACTTTACATGAATTGGTGCTGTGACCCTATATTTGTGAAAGATGCATCCCAATGTGATCAATGTGCTATTTTTGATAACTTGAAAGGTGCAAGGAATATGAATCATGTATTGAAATGCTTAGACAATAAATTGAGATTGAAGAATGTGAAGTATATGCTAAATGGCCTAGATTTCAAATCAAGTTTAAATTGTGATTAATGTGCCGAATCATGAGGATTCCTCTCTATGCTTACAACTTGAATTTCTCATGTGTACTTGACATCTTGAATTGAGTAGCTTGTTGTTGAGATTGATATTGATGCGAAATATGTGGAAATGATGTGAAATGTGGGAAAGAAGAGATTGTTATGAAATGTGGCCAAGTACCAAGTATGATGTGATAATTGAGGCCCCAAGTGCCTATGAGTTGATATATGTGAAATAAAGATTGAAATGAGATGATTAATGAGAAAGGAACAATGCCTAGGTAAGGCGGCCTAGCCGATCGGGCCGTGGTCGGACACCATGCCGCACACATGGTGGTATTGTGCTGATATTGAATTCCGGAAATTGAGAATGAGATTATGATTGAGGTACATGTCTCAAATGAGGCAACCTAGCCGATCGGGTCATGATCGGACTCCGCCCAAGAAAGCGGTGGTATTATGAATGATGATGAACAATATCAAGTGCCCCAAACTAAGTTATGGAAATTATGTGAAAGATTATATGGTTCGTTTATTTGGTGATGTGGTGATTAATAAAGCTTTTGATTGACCTTTATGATTTCTTTATTCTTGTTTGATAGTTCTTTCTAACTAGATGGTGTTTAGTTATACATACTAGTGCTATTCGATGGCACTAACGTCCCTTTTGCTGGGGACGCTACGTCTTTAAATGGATGTAGGTGTTCCTATAGCAGGCAGTGTTGGTCGCAGCTAGTGCCGCATCATCCTTTCAGCTGACTTGGTGAGCCCCACTTCATTTCGGGGATCTGTTTCATCTATTTGTCTTGTACGTTATATTTGAGGTATAGCCGGAGCCTTGTTACCGGCATTTCCATTTTACATTACTCTTGAGTTATGTTTAGAGGCTCCGTAGACAGGTTGTGGGTAGTTTCGGGTATTGAAAATAATGTAGAAACATTGATGTTTGGCAAAGATTTATAAAACTTGTAATATTTTGATAATTATGATTTAAGTTGCTAATGGAAATGAAATGAAAGTTGTTAATGAAATACTTACTAAATATGATTAATGGAGTCCATCTCCTATTTAATCATGAGGTTGGTTGGGTAGAATGAAACCTAACAGGCTTGCTCGGTCGGGTTTACTCGGTTGAGCGCCGGTCGCGCTCCTCGGATTTTAGGGCGTGACAATAGCCCATCTGGACTAGGTGCTTTAAATGGTTTAAAGGACTTAACAACTGAAATTTTTTTGAGTCAGTTACAGGTTTAAGAAGATCAGAGCTTTTAGTGGGCGTGATAAGGGAGGAGCTTTGCCGAGTGCGATGTAACTGAGATCGAGTAAAATTAGTAGTATAAAGAGTGTTGAAATGGTTAAAGATTATGTCTCGCATTTGATTATCCTCTTCGTACCAATTACCCACCTCTGTCTTTTAAGGCGGTAATACGATTTCGTCTATGACATTGTAAAATGGATAGATGATTTTTTTGTATTTGCGTTCCCTTCTTGCAACCATTGAACACGGTATTTAAGTTTCCATAGTTCAAACGAAGTACCTTGTATTCTTTTAGGAGGGAATCTTCCTGTCATGTAAAACATAGATGATTGGGAAGTCGGGGGAGGATTGAATTCCCAATAATCGAACAAATAAACGTTTTTCTCGATGAAATATATTAACAAAAAAGGTTTTTTTCCAATGTTGTATATTGCGTTGAAAGTGGTCTATAGCTTCTAGAAAGAGATTGGAGGGCGGGGGGGGGGAGGGGAGAGGTGCCAACTATTACATAGTACATGGATAAATTTAGGATGTGATGTCCAGATAGTTTCAAAATGAAAGATGTTGGATTGAGGGCTGCGTGATAATTAGAGTGCAAGTAATAAGGGGGTATGGTCTGAGTGTGTACGTGGTAAATATCGCAAAATAGCCTCAGAAAATAAAGAAACTCATTCGTAATTTGCAATCAGTCTATCCAACCGTTCTAAAATATGATAGCCATAATGTCTTTTATTTGTCCATATGTATTTACTACATTTATAACCAAAGTCAACCATATTTAGAGTAATTGATATAGTCTGCAAATTTATTCGAGCGAGAATTATTTATAGAGCATCCGCCAATTTTCTTAGTAGAGTGCAATATTTCATTGAAGTCACCCCCAATAATCTAGGGACCCTTGTAATGATGACACATAAGATTTTGCGATAATAATTGACGATTTGCATAATAAGGACTAGCATAAAATTCAAAAAAGAAAAAAAATATTTTTGTGGGGTAGGGAGTACCTGAATCATGACGTGTATCTCATGCTCCGTCGTAGCTAAGTTTTCAACATTCAGAAAATGATCATGCCACATCATGGCAATACCACCTGCTTGACCATTAGCAGGAACCTCATCAAGGTTGGTAAAGCCAAAGTTATCACGTAGGATAGTATGATTTTGCATATGTGTTTTAAATTATTAAAGCTGGAGCATGATAATCCAGTAAAGAACGAAAGTTACAACGAAAATCAGCATTATGAGCACCACGACAATTCCAGAGCATAAAATTCATTTATGAAATAGTAGAGTATGAGTCTATAGGTGAGTCAGGTAAACATGGGTTCGTGCTCCAGGGAACTAGTGCAAGCTGTATTGTTATACTTACTTCTCTCGTAGTTTCGACATTACAATTCTCCATATCCTATTCCACACATTAGAAGTTGGTTTGACAAATTTATAAGCTCTTATTGGCTTATATATACATGTTATAATTTAAGTAAGCTTATCATTCGAAAAGTCATAAGTTAGTCATTTATAATTTTTTATACTTTTTACTTATAAGTAATTTTAATTTGATCGATACTTATATTATTTTTTGTAATTTCTTTTCTAATTTTTTGTAGTTTTTGAAGAATCATTCTCAAATAAGAATTCCAAAGTAGTTTTGTTGAAGAACCTTCAAACAGAAGTGCGAAATTAAAATCAACTTGTATTTTGTAGTTATATCAAATTATATTAGTTTATTAGTATGAAAATTAAATTAGATTAAGATATATATCTTATATTCATAAATATGGTATAAAATGATGCACGTAATTTTTTACCAAGGATGAATTTTTTTTCGTTACCAACACCAACTAAGTGGGCGTTTGGACATAAGAATGGTAAAATTCTAAAGAAACTGGAAATTGTTTTTAAGTGAAAATGGTATTTGAAAATTAGGGTTGTGTTTGGACATGAATATAATTTTAGGTTGTTTTTACACTTTTGTGAGTGATCTGAGTAAAAAATTTGAAAAATAAATTTTTTATATTTTTGAAATTTTCAAAATGTATATTAAACTGAAAATTGAAAAATTTATTAACAAACGCTTATTTCGAAAAAAAATAAAATTTTTGAAAAAAAGGAAAAATTTCTTATGTCCAACTGTCCAAGCGGCTTTAAATTAAAGGACAGTAGCACACGTGCCAGTAGGAGCGGGCATAAAATCCGAAAAACCAATTCTGAACCGGACCGAATTAATTCGGTTATTCGGTTTCGATTTTTTCGGTATTTCGGTCTAATTCGATATTATATTTTTAATATTTTGGTATTTCGGTACGGTTCTCGGTATTAAAATCTTGAAATTTCGGTATTACCGAATTACCGAATTTTAAGTTGGACCTATAGCTATAGAGCCCAGCCCAAATTGTATATCTAATGACTAATGCCCATTGCCCAGCGCCCCGACCCCAGCCCAGCCTAGCCCAATAAGGCCCTACTAGTATTTTACTTATCTGATTAGGGAATTAGAATTTAACATGTGTGATTAGGGAATTTAGAATTTAGAAAATAGAAAGGGAGAAAGACAGAAAGTCGCTAACGGCGATTTAAGGTTCTTTCAGCGAGAAGACCTTTGAAGGTTTTAGGGTTTGCAGTGCGTTCACTGGTGCGATTTAGGGTTTGCTGTTGTAACTTCAAGGAATCAAACGTATGTTTCTAGTTTGTTATAAGGCATCTTTAGTTTATTCAATGGCATCTTTAGTTTCTTCAAAGAAAAATGGATGTTACTTCTAGTACTGAACTATCTAGGGCTTTCTATTTTCTTCTTTAAACTTATCTTCTAATTGTCAAAGATAACTTTCTGTATTTGAAATTTGGCAGATTCAATTTACGTTAGTTTACTGATCCGTACTTGTCCTTGTACATAAGCAAATCCTTGCATTTTCTTTTCTGCTTATTATAAATAGGATATCTATCAGCGCTTCTACATACATGATACATCTGTCTCTTCTCTTTTTGACTAAGAGTGTCAGTTCTTCTATTTCTTTATCTTCCATATGATCCTCTAGTTTCTGTTTCGAATATAGAAAAAATCTAATATAACAAAAGCTCGTGAGCTGTTCTATCATTAGCTTTTGTTTCTTTTTACTATTCGATTGAGAGCTTTTGTTTCTTTTTACTATTTGATATATATGTGCGAAGTGAAGGTTTCAAGTTGATCTCACAGCCAGTGGACTGTTTCCTCTGTTTTTGAATGCCAACATTGTGAATTCATTGAATCACTGAATCAGTGAGTTGTGAATTCATTGAAGAATTGTGCACGAAGAGGGGCAGAGGGTTGTCAGGCGTCATAAGTTTATTTAGCGATTATTAAACCGAAACCGTACCGAACCAAAATATAAAATACCGAACCATACTGAAATAATTTGGTACGGTATTTGGTATACACAATTGATAAATCGAATACTGAACCGAAATTCTTAAATACCAAACCGAAATACCGAATGCCCACCCCTACGTGCCAGTCAGTGATGCCCTTTCATCGAATGCCACGCCCCAGGTACTCACCTACCCTAAAAGCTCCAGCACGTTAAGCTCTTTCTTTCACACTCGCCGGTGGACCAGTCTTTTCGCACTCTCCGTTCCTATATAAGATGACAGAGTGTGCAGTGCGGTTAGCCTCTTCGTCTCGCGCTCTATCTGCTAACTTGCGCATCTCACCTACCCGATTCTCTCCTCTCCGCCGATCTCTGCCGTTGACCTCTGCATCTATTATTGGCAAGTCACTTTTTTGCTCGCGCTCACATAGGAGAATCTCAGTATTGAGTACAAACTCATCGAAATCTCAGTTTACAACTAAATCATCAATGGCTGAGACTTTGACAGGGAAAAGTAAAGGGCAAGTAGAAGTGTTTGATTCTGAAGAGGAACTTGCCGTGTCTCTAGCGAAGTACACAGCTGATTTATCGGAGAAGTTTTGCAAAGAGAGAGGTTCTTTTTCTGTTGTTGTTTCCGGCGGTTCACTTATCAAGTCTCTTAGGTAATTGTTTATTCTCTTCGTTGTCAGTCTTTTTGGGATGATTTTGGTGTTTAAGTTAATTGGATGCTTATGTTTGTTGCAATCGTACAGGAAATTGGTGGAGCCACCATATATTGATTCAATAGATTGGTCGAAGTGGCACGTTTTCTGGGTGGATGAGAGAGTGGTCCCAAAAGATCATCCTGATAGCAATTATTTGCTTGCTTATGGTGCTTTTCTATCCAAGGTATTTGTGTCTTTCTACTATGTATTGATTTTACCTCTGCCACAGTGTGTGATATCTTCAATTTTTTGTTAAAACAATTTTTCGTAGTGTATATACTATATATATACACACTTCTTTCATTTGTTTGGCCGATCAACGGACGGGAAATGATTGGTTTATTGTGCAAATGCTTCCTTACATTTGAACAACGAGCTGTATTAATTGTTTGAGTTTCTACACAAAGAATGTAAGGTAATTTGAACAGAGATGAAATCACTTTATGGTGCTATCTGAGTATTGATGGAGAATAAACCTGTAGTTATTAAGCTTTCCATTCATCAACTCCGGATGAAACATATGGAAAATCAGATGCGAAAGTAATTCTGTTAGGAGTTGAGGCCAGTGGTATCAAAGAATGCAAGTTGTGCCCGTAGTGTAAACACATAATGTACGATGCCTTGGCTTAAGACACTAATAAGATAATTCTGCTGATGGATCAGCGAGGACTAAAATGATCTGGTGGTCCCTGTTAAAATGAAGTGTGAAAATATACGGTAAAAAGTAAATACTTCCTCCGTCCCAATTTATGTGATACCGTTTGATTGGACACAGAGTTTAAAGAAAGGTTAAAATGTTTTCTAAATATGTAAAGGTGTCATTTTTTTGGGACTAACTAAAAAGGAAAGTGTGCCACCTAAAATGGGACTGAGGGAATAAATATTAGTTATTTAGCAGACACATGAATGACTTGAGTCGTGCCATGTACTGTCCTAAGAAACTATTTTTGCAATGTGAAGGTTTTCCAGAATTAAAGATCCTCTATTAGAGGGAACATAAACAACAACAATTATGCCTTAGTCCGAAACAAGTTGGGGTCGGCAATATGAATTCTGACTTCCTTATTTAAGCTCAACTCATATTATCATCCTACCAAATAAATTAATAATGAATAGAGGGAACACAATCAACAATTTTTAAATAACGATCAACAAATTATGTATGAAAAAGAAGAAAAGACAGAGCAACTTGATATTTGTAGGGAAATTAACTATAGAGAAAAGAGAGAAAAAGAGTAAGTATTATGATGGAGTAACAATTAGCAATAATTGGTATGTTAGGATGAAGCCATAGAGAAGGCAAATTTTGGTGTTGTTCGGATGGATTCAAAAAATGAGTGTATATAAGTTATTTATAGGATGAGAATAGGCCTCTAGTCATGACAAATGTCATGCCACTTATCCATAACTTTTCATATATGCATCTTTCGATAAACTCTTATGCATGAACCGATTTAGCTAATCTAATTAGCCACTTGTCCATAAATTCTCGTGCATGAAACTAGCTACTTAGCTAAAATATTATTAAAATATTTCAAAAGATTCTTCAAGAAAATAGAGCAGAACTTGCTGGATTTGTATTTTAAGTAGTGTACACTTCGATGCTTCACCTATATGGGAGTGAAATACTGCCACTCCTATAAGGTTTTGGCCAAAACTCTAGAGTTCTCATGAATAACTAAGCATGTGCATGGCATGTTTGTGCAAAACCATGTCGAACAACTTAATCTTGAGGGGTCAAAATGTTATTGATGAAATTATTTCCTTGCAATAAGAATTATTGATTCATATAAATATCATATTTCACTAGTAATTCTGTGAGTCAAATTTTATCGGTCTAAGTTTGGTTCATAGTCCAAAAGACACCAAGCTGATTGAATTTGGATCACACAAATCTAGCAAGATGTACTCTTAAATCGTTTTGAAATATGTGGGGGATTGTTGGTAATATGTCAACAATATTTTAGCAAAGTTGTTTCATGCATAAGAGTTTATGGACATATGACCAAGTAGATTAGCTAAATAGCTTCATGCATGAGAGTTTAAAGACAACTGGTTAAGTGAATTAGCTAAGTGGCTCCATACATGAGAAGTTATGGATAAGTGGCATGAAACTTGTCATGATTAGAGGGCTACTCTCATCCTATATATAGCTAATCATAGCCCAATTTTTAATCCGTGTTAATGCACCAAAAATTGGTTTTACTTATGGCTTTATCACAACAAACCAACAATTGCTAATTATGACCTCATCATAGTACATAGTCCCTCGAGCCTTATTTCCTTTGTACAATTTCCCTACAAACACCTAGTTGTTTTATCTTTTCTGTTCATAACGTTTTTTTGTTATTTAAATTTTGTTATTCATGTTCCCTCTGTTAGAGGAAGACTTGTTTAATTGGGGAAAAACACACTTTGTGGAAATAGTTTCTTAGGATAGTACCTAGCACGACTATAGGCATGACTTAAGGCATTCATATATCTCTTTAATAATAATATTTATTTACCTTTTCCCCTGTATTTTCTTTTTTTCTTTTTCTATGGAAAAGGAATCTTTCCCTTATATTTGCCAACAAATATCTCGTCGTTAATGCATTTTCTGTGTTGTCTCTGCTTAGTAGATCAAATAATTTTCTTTTGTGAAGGGCTTAGTAGATCAAATCATAAATGCTGACCTAACATGTTAGTACTAAGAGTTTATAGAGCTGTCTGAGGTAGAAACTTACTGCGAAGCACCTCTCAAGATTCAGTTCCATGATCCACCGACTTTTGATATGCCATAAGTCCAAAGATAGTAAATGTCCTTATCCCAAGCTGCAACACCGTCAGTTTGTTCTTGGATATAGCAAAGGCTGCCGATCTTGTTGGATTAAACATGTGGTCACAGAGGTTGTTGCTGGTATTTGTTAAAGATGGAAATGCAGAAACAAAGACGGTTTTCCCCTTTCTCCTTCTATTGTTTCGGACAGGGGGTGGAGGTGTAGGCTGCTTGCTCACGTTTACATTTGAGAATTACACTATTTCTATTGTTACTTTCAGTCTTAAAAGAAAAATATGCATTGTAATGGGATATTGCAAAAGTAGGAGAAAGGTAGAACCAATTGTCATACGGGGCAAAATGATTGCTCGCCGAAAGAATTCTGGTAAATTATGGGAAAGCTGAACTTCCCGCTGCTGTGTAGGGGAAAAGCCTTTGGCATGCTAAACAAACATGCGCCCTGTTACTGATATCCCTTGGGATGTGACCATTTGACTTTTGCTCCTTGTAGCTTGACGCTATTTTTGGGGCTCTTGATTAATCATGTGCGAAGTAGTTGTGCAAAATTGACCATTACTCAGCACTCTTTAACAAGATCGAATCTTTAAACTTCTATCATCACCAAAACATCTTTGGATTTTTGATATGTTAAGGGGGTGGGAGCTGTCATTTGAATAGTCTCTTTATTTTTTATTTTTTTTGGTTGGTAAGTTGGGTTGGCTCTTTACATTGAACCAAAAAAAGCAAATTTACTATGTGAGTTTTCTCCTCTTTCTTTTTTTGGGTTTGGGGGTTTTGGGGGGGGGGGGGGTGGTTATCTTAATCTCTCTTCATAATGCACCCAAAAAAAAAAAACAAATGGTAAACAAGTCCGTGGATATCATAAACCCGATTGTTCGGATGAGCTGGATATGTCAAGTAGCTTTTAAACGACATTTCTGGGGTACATGGAGTAACATTATGTGATTCATGTAAAAGGGCAACACATAAATTTGAAAAAAGAAACTGTATGCTGTATAAAAAGAGGAGAATATACAACATTAAATTTTACTTTTCGCTTGCGCAGCGTATCCATAAATTCCTGATTTAAAGAACTTGTCAACCCTTGAAGCCCTTCTATCAATGACTTCTAAACAATATCTGAGGTTCCTCTTCATAAATCCTCTCTTTTCTGTGGAACTTAATATGAGAAATAATGTTGTATTAGCAAAATACTTACAAACATTACCATTGTGACCTTACCTACTTTAAACTAAATGGTAATGCTTTGAGATTTCTGTTGCTAGAGTAGTTTAGTGGGGTAAAATCTACAGGATCAGCTGAAGAGTAGTTGAGCAGCTTAAGCAAAATTGACATGTTTGGAAGTTCAATGAGTAAAATTGCCCGTGCTCAATACCATGTAGAGTTGCTGATAAGCTCAGATTGAACTTATGTTGGCTTTGCTTAACTCCAGATTAGTATGATTTAAGCAGGTTTGAAATATATCCTCAATCTTGGCCCATACACTTTTAGTGAAGGTTCTTCGATAACTCTAACAAGTTAAATGGTCTTGCTCTAAGCTGTGCCATTTTATCCGGCAGTCCCAGCAGCTCCATAGCTACAGATTATTTGAAATGAAGGTGATTACAGACTAAATCACCAAATTCTTATAAGCCTTTAGAGATGCATGGCTGCTGAAGGCATCTTTTAGATTACAAATTGTTCATATTACTTGCATCACTTACAGAACTGCCTAAGCGGTTTGATCTTATTAAGAATGACGAATGAGCTGTTACTTCATCAATATTTTCCTTTTACTTCTTTTTACTTCATCACTTTTCTCATTTCACATCTTAATTCTATCTACTAAGCTTTTAGGCTCACCTCTTCTTTCTCTTGGGCAGATACCTATTCCTAGTGGCAATGTGTATGCCATAAACGATGCATTATCAGCAGAGGGTGCGGCAGATGATTATGAGACTTGTCTAAGACACTTGGTTAAGACCAAGATTGTAGACATTTCCGAGGCTACTGGATTTCCCAAATTTGATGTGATGCTATTGGGTATGGGTCCCGATGGGCATGTAGCTTCCTTATTTCCCGGGCATCCTCTTGTCCATGAGAAAAAGAAGTGGGTCACCTTCACCAAGGAATCTCCAAAACCTCCACCGGAAAGGATTACATTTACATTTCCTGTAATAAACTCATCGGCAAATATCGCTCTTGTTGTAGCAGGTGCTGGGAAGGCAGATGTAGTGCATAAATCTCTAGGTGATAGTAAAAGTTCCGATTTGCTTCCTGTGCAGATGGTTGCACCTGAAGGAGAATTGGTCTGGTTTTTAGACAAGGCTGCCGCTTCAAAGCTGTAAGGATGAAGATATTTGAGTTGTGAATTAGTGCTTCACTGCTGTGTGTGTATTTTGTAATTTCAATGCATTATCGAGAAGGGATATTTTTCCCAGTATTGCCAGTGAAATGTTGAGGTTTCATATGCCATTATCCAATTTTTGGCAGTTTCTCCTCACTTGTTTCTGTGATGATGCTTGGCTCTCACTAACTCGCTAATAAAAGTGCAGTTTGTGGTGTTAATTTCTTTTCATCTATGGGTTAGGCATGTGGCAGATTCTTTGTATAATTGCCAGGGTTTGTATGATATGCCAAATTAGTTAATGGTGCAAAGCAATGCTTATTGATGATAAAGCTTAGGAAGTTCTGCCCTTATTTGCCAAATGAAGGGGCTGGAAAGCAATAACGTAATTGTGATAGACATCCTTCAAATTTAGGATAAATATTCTTCAAAGAGGACTAGAACAGGAAGCTGGAATGGTCCCCTTAAGTTATTGGCAATTGAGGCCTGTAATAAGTTTTTAGAGATGCAATATCTTCAGCTGCTTTCACCCATTTCAAATCCTCAGAGAGGTGACCCCCCATTTTGCCAGCAGCCCAGCACTATCACTGATTTTGCTCTCTGATCTCGCTCTAAACAAGAACTTGATCACTTTAGTGTTCTTGTGGCTTATGAATTGCGACTTACAGTACTCTATCCCAGGTGTTATTTTTCTGTCGATAAACAATTTTGTTGCTTATTACTTGGTAGATTTAAACCCACTTCTGTGTACTATGATGCAAAATAATGCATTAACATATAAGGAGGGTTAGTTGGTAAGGCCTATTGCCAATTTTGTTAAATTGGTGAAGCTTTAAGTGTAGCATCCATGAAAAAAAAAATCACAATCTTTAACTGGGAGGGCATAGCCTGCTAATTAATCAGGAACAAATCAATGGTTAAATGATCCCAGCTTTCACACATGAATTTCACCCTCAGATCGGACTTCGGAGAAGGAAAAAGAGGTTAACAAAAAGAATGGGTAGTCTGTCAGACAGCTATGAGACCATCCCAGGCCTGCGCAAGCAAGAGCTGAGAACGATCCTCTACTTCTCCAAGAGCCACAAGTGACCATGGAAGGCTGTTAATCACGCTCTGGTCTCATAGCCACGCTTCATCAACCAGACTTGGTTTTCTGTCTCCTTAGAACTCAAGGATACAGTGGTACGAGCCTATAGAACAGATCCTGTTCAAGTAAGGTCGTGCTTTTCAGTTGTACTGAATGGCTATATAAACAGCAAACTGATAAGTTAGTGCGTCGATGTGGGACTCCAACGCCAAGCATCAACCCCAACAAACTAGTCGGCAGCAGTGAGATAAGTTAATGCTTTCGATGTGGGACAGATCTTATGCCAATCTTCAACCCTCACAAACTACTGGGTTTTCCACTCACTGGCAACGTGACAAAATCGAATCATAAAATAATACTAGTAGAAGTCTACTTTGTGATTTTGATTCGTGTGGAGAAAACAAAAATACTGACAGTGAGCTTAAACTTTGAATCGAAAAACATTACAATTATTTTAAACAAAAAAAAAAAAAAAAAAAATCTCGCTTGCATGATATTTTCGCATTATACAACTTCCACACCCCCTAGAGCATCTTAAATCAATGATCTTACCTGCTGGTGATTTCTATGAACTTTCCCAAGATTTCAACTCGTCAGACAGAAAGTTAATTTTCCTTCTCCGGCAGTCCACCGGAGTTCAGCTTTGTCGGGGTGGGGGTGGGGGAGAAGATGTTTGGAAGGATTGACAGTTTGACACTTCTCATTTTTACAAGACACATTAATTACGCTTGAAGGTTGGACCTTTCTACAATTGTCCAGAATGATGTGAGAAAATAAAAAGAATTAACTAAGGTAAGAAATTTTGAAGAAAAACGCAGTACTCCTCCATCTCATATTATCATTTTGTTACTAAAAATCATTGCCTCAAATTATTGTCATTTTAATAGTTCAAACAAAATTAATTATTTTTTTCTCTTAATAATAATTATCCTTGAAAACTACAAACACCTCAATTATAAACAACTTTGTTCAAATACCAATGAAGAAGGATTAAATATTAAGACATGAATAAGGGTAAAGTAATCAAAATCCCATCTTAATTAATTTTTCTTAAGGAGCACGTACAAGAAAATTATGACACATAATAGGATGGAGTAATAAAGTTCAATACTTGCAAATATAAATAGTCGAATCAGTACCTGAAAAAAATAAAATTCAGTATTAGAAAAGTCGAAGTAATATTCAATGCCCAGACATGTCCTAAGAATCTCAAATTTTTTCCATTTCATTTTAATCAATAAATAAGTTGCTCTATGTTCCATGTTATATTTCACTTTTTTTTTATTTGTTCTAAAATAAATTGACACTTTTTTATACTCCTTAACTCTGTAGTTCTAATATTTCTATCTTAATTTTGATGACACTTTATGAGATTGTATGTTTAAGACCATAAAGGTTCAAAGAATTTTTCTTATATATTGTACTTATAATTAATTAAACGGCAAGTTTTATTTTCTTATATTTTGCTTCGATGAGAGTTTTTGACCAATATTGTCCCTTATCTTTGAGGGTAGGTCTATTTTGGTCCCTCAAATATAACTCTAAGTATATTTAGTCCCTTAAGTATGCTAAAGTGGAGCACCTTTAGTCTCACTCACACAATGTGTTCAAAAACTAACTCTGATTCATGAACCAAATCTTCTGCTCTGAAGCAAAACGTTTCCTCTCCTTTTATTGGATATGCAAATTATCACTTTAATTCCTCATTTTTAAATAATGTCTTCTAAAATTTTGACCTTGAAAATATCTCCTTCTATGCCAGTTTTCAATGAGAAAATGACATTGTATAGCCGCTGTAAAAGTAATAGCCGAAAATATATATACAATTTGTATATTTTTTTGTATATATATATACATCTAAAAATTTCGGTTGATTTCAAAAAGAAAAGTTAAAATTTGAAAAAAAAAATAGAGCTGCCAGGATCACTTCTAGGCTTATTATTTAGAGCAAATGAATAACCAAGTTGTATTATCACTTTTAGCCCGTGCCAGAAACTATTTACATCTGGTAGTCGAAAAAGTATATAAAATTTGTATAATTTTTGTATATTAACATACAAAATGCATATATATACAAAAAATATATAAATTTTATATATTTTACGGCTATTATTTTTACACCAGCTATGCAGTGTCATTTTCTCATTGAAAACTGGCACAGAAGGGGATATTTTCAAGGACAAAATTTTAGAAGACATTATCTAAAAATGAGGAATTAAAGTGATAGTTTGCGTTATCCAATAAAAGGAGAAGAAACTTTTGATTCAGAAGATTTGCTTCATGAATTAGAGTTGGGTAACACCGTTAGTTTTTGAACACAAGAAATAATCGCAGGAAATCCTTTGATAACCCGGATTCCTATTACTCAATGATATTCCACGATCAAGACAATTGGTTGCATCCCGTGAAACCATTTCATAGAAGTTCATTGATATTGCGTCAGTGAGACTAAAAGTGCTCCACTTTAGCATACTTAATGGACTAAATATGCTCACGGTAATATTTGAGGGCCCCAAATAAACCTACCCTAAAAGATAAAGAACAATATTGACCAAAGACTCGCTTGGATTGTTTGCATTCTCGAGAAAGGATATTTTTTCTTATATATTATACTTATAATTAATTCGAGATTGTATGCATTTTCGAGAAGGGATTATTTTTCCAGTATTGGCAGTAAAATGCTGAGGTTTCATATATCATTATCCAATTGTTGGCAATTTTTGCTCACTTGTTCCTGTAATGATGATTGGCTATCAGGAAGTCGGAAATAAAGTTGCAGTTTGAGCTGTTATTTTCTGTTCATATGTATGTCAGGCATGTGGACATATTCTTTGTATCGTTACCGGGGCGTGGCATGCCTACATTAAATAATTGTGCGAAACAAAGGTTATCTGTATCTATATCTATCTATATCTATCTATCTATCTATATTTATATCTATATCTATATTATTATAAAAGCACGAATGTTAGGAAGTTAAATGTTAAGAGACGAAAATATCCTCGAAAAGATGATCGACCTTTTTGCCGTTTAAAGTTAATATTTCCTTTATGTACCAATTTAATGATGGGTATAAATATAATTTTGGGTTAGGACTAAGTAACCTTTTTCTGTTGGGATTCAATTCATTCTAAAATATAAAGTTTCTCTTCAAAGAAACAACTCCATAATTGGATAAAATTATAACATTGAGAATTATAATATTACTTATATGAGAAACGTCGGCAAAAATAATAATTCTACGAGCAGGTAAAAGGATTTGTCATATTTACAAGCATTAATTGTTTCTAATTTTATTATTTATCACAATCAATCTATACGTGTAGAATTGTAGTAGTTTTAGAACTTTATTTCTTGTCTTCATTAGTCAAGGATTCCTTCATACTTGTAAAAATCTAACTATCCTTGGCTTAGTCATCTATGCACTACCGTATTTTTAAAAAAAAAAAAATAATATGACAATATTTCACTTCAATAGAACTTAATTATAAAAATTGAGACCAAAATATCACAGGAATGTAACTACATTATATTTAACTTTTTGGCATTATTGTTCATCATTAGGGTTAGTTTTTCTTTTGATCTTCTTATTCTGTAGAAATCGTTAATGGACATACATATTTTCAAGCATATGTTTATCCCCAAAATTCAACTTTTATCATAGACGATAAAGGATATCCTCTTAAGTATATTTGGAAATAACCGCACGTACGCTTGTGTATTGCAATGACACTAAATAAAATACATAACCAAATAATTTTAAATGTTGGACTATATTTGATGCAACATATTTTAATACAGTAACTATTGTACATTATATTTCAAGAGAGATATCAATATCGACAATAAGAGTTATAATTATAATAAAGTATTATAAGGAAGCGAACACCAAAAATATCTTATATAAAGAGTATTAGGTATTAGGTAGATACGACTGTATCTGATGTTTCTACAGATGCATATACCATTCGCACGTTCAGACGATAATGTGGTATCATTTTAAATTCAAGTATTATGTAAGTGTAATAACATTTGAAAAGTATGAATATCAAAAAATTTAGTAATCAAATATCAACGTGCAATTGTTATCGTGCAACGCACGTTCATAAAAACTAGTATATATACTATATTAAA